TGTGTAGCTTAAAATTGATATAAAATTTTGTTAAACTTAATTTAGTGTGACTTGATCTTTACTATTCAAAAGTTAAGATTTAACTTACATTTGCACGTGTAAGTATTACATCAACTATTAATCATTCAATTTAAAGTTTTAACACTGAAATTTTTTTTTAAAATTCTTTAAATTTTAAAATGTAAAATTAAAAATTCAAGTCAAAATTTATTAAACTTACACCAACTTAAGTTAATCCTTACTTTATATTGAATATTACTAGAAAAACTTACAATTCTATAAAAAAAAAAAAAAAAACTCAAATGGATAAGTTTGGTTCATATAATCCAAAAAATTTGTCATTGGTTGAAGGACTTAGCCATTAATTAATAAATTTACAAGAAATTAACTCTATAACTAATTTTACTTGAACGTTTAGGTGCATTGCTTACAAAAATATGAGTTAAGAGAACATATTACAAGAACTATATATATATATATTTTAATTTGTTTCCTACACTATATAAAAAGGAAAATAGATTTGGAAGAATCAGTCTTTTGTCAAATTGTCTGAAATGAATCTTCTTTCAAGTCCTTTATATATATCCACTGCCAAACTGTGTTGTAATCACGCGTTTAAAGATGTGGTGCTTTCCTTAATTAATTAGAGGGTCTGTAAAATTTTTCCACTCTTTTGCTTCCTTTATTCGGTTTTCAAAGAATCCTTTTTCTAATTTATTTTTCTCTTCTCCCAAACACACAGACTGAAAAAGAGTCGATCGTCTCCACGTTCCCAAGTCTCCTTTGTTGCAGGTTTGCAGCTGCCTTGTGCTTAATTTTTTAGGCAAATTGCATTTATCTCTACTATATAATTTGGAGTACAAGCAACTTAACTCCCTTATAAATTAAAAAAAAAAATCTTTTATATGGTTTAAAAATATGCACTTTATTCCAGTATTGTCATATTATAGAAAATAATAAACACAATTTTAATTTTAAAACAAAATTATACTTTTACTCTATAAAAGTTGTGATTACTATTTTTCCACTCAACATAATGCGAGAATTCTAAACAAAAGAAACCATTGCATCAATCACCATCATGCATCTAGAGGATACTGATCATATTATAAGATTTTATGGTGATTGAGATTGAATTTGACATGTCATATGCTTTACTTTTTCTTTTGGTTTTTCCGTGATAAGATAGCATAATTATACACCAATGATATCAAAGAAATAAGACATTGTTGCTTTCTAAAGGGTAAATTATAAGAACCTTAGGGTTAGTATTATTATCATAATTAAGTATTATTTTACAAATCATATCTAAAATTTAAGTTTTTGAATCAATATTTAAAGAAATTAATTTTTTTAAATGTAGTAAGCTAATGTAAAGAATATGCTCCTAAGATTGTTAAAAAAAAAATAATTTTAAATGTGTGAAAACTAACTTAGAAAATAGATATATCTTAAACATTCAAACCAAGAAAAAGGAAAAAAAGATAGAGTAAAGGCTAGGGGACCAGGCCGGTATGCCATAATGTCGTGTATATATATATTTATATGGAAGATCTGAACCATCCATCTCCAAAAAATCAAAGCACAAAGCTAACTTCTATTTTTCTATGGAGGCAAATCTAAAGTGCACATTTCTCTCTCTTTCTTTTCAGATCAGCAGGATATGAATATCCTGTTAATCTATTTTTTAGATCTTAGTCCAAGAAAAGCAAAAGGAATTGCCAAACTGAAAAAAAAAAAAAAAAAGTAATGAAATGTTATTCTTTTGCAAATTGATCAGTGCAAGTCATAGAGGTTTCTTTCCTAATTCCTACTTTTTTTTTTTTTGCCTGAGCTGGGCTTTTTATTGTGGGCTCAAAACTATGTTTCATTGTTTTCTTAATGGACTTTAAAGACCATAAAATAAAGTTGAACTCGAAGCTAAAAAGCCCAAACCAAACCCTCACAGACCTCTCTTTCGAGTCCTTAATTTAATGTTGGGCTACTTTAAACCCATAAAGAACCATTAGCCCAACCCAAAGAGGTTGGGCTAAGAAAATTAAAGCCAATATTTTCTTTCTTTCTCATACTCCGCTAATTCTAATGATTCAAAAATATTGACGGAGAGACCTGAACTAAAGAACCTAAATGAAAGGAGTAAAACGTTTGGGACTCAACTACGAACAAAAAACTTCAGTGATCAAACAGAAAATCATTTCAAGATTTTGGATAGAAAACATCGAGTCCTCCCTTAAACTCTCACCACTTAATTAAATCTCCAGCTTATTTCAAACTGCTCCATGT